TTTTATACGTCGACTTGACGAGTACGTCACCGCAAATCGCTCCGCACACTCATTTTATTGGCTACCTGCAAATTTGTCGAATTTTGATTGATGGGACGCGTCGTCTAATTTTTTCCGAAAAACATCGAGAAAATATCGTTTCCCCTCCCACGGATACCCCGTAGCTACAGAACGGACAGACGTACTGTACGTGTTTGAATCTATCGAAGCTGAACCAACAACACTTGGAGTGGAGATTCCACATTATGAATAAAATAAACATAATTGTCCAGTTTTCATTAATACCATCATGGGAGAATATTATTTTTAAATTTATTAAAGATATTTTCAATAGAATTCTCTTGATTTATAACTCGTACCCACTTTTCTTGCTCTTCCGGACACTTTAGGCTGCCTAGAATAACTATCCTTTCCACCAGGAACACAACAAAGATATAAATAGCACCAAAAACACACTCCACTTAAGCTTTATTGATGAATTGTTAGAGTCTTAAAAAACACACACAAAAATCACGATAAGTAAAAAATGTATGGGCACTTTTAGGTTAAATCACTTACACAACGTGTAATTTTTCAATTTTTCTATTTTTTTATGCGAAACCGAGAGTGACCATATATCTAGTAGTAGTTTATGTCACTTCAACACCAAAATAATTAGTTTTTTGCACTACAATAATAAATAATACCAAAAATCAAAGAGTTAAAACCAAAAATCAACCGACAAAATATGAAACGGAATCTAACCCAATATCTAAGTATGTACAGCTGATGAAGTAAACAAAAGTCCGCCCGCAGGCTGATCTTTTAATAGAAGGCACTGCATGAAGTTAGCATTTCTTTAATGTACCTATTCTCTGATGTACACCACGGGGGTGTCACTTGTATGGGAAAACAGGCAACACTCAAATTTAAACGTGCCAGGACCAACGACAAAGAAAGCAACATCTGCCAGGCGTTGGCTTTCTTTGTCACTCACATTGCTTAAATCATGACACCGCGGCCATTTTGTCAACAAAGAAGCTGGCCGGCTGTCCTGGCAAGTGATTTAAAACAATTTTGCTTTTTTACAATATTAAATTATTAATTTGGATGTATTTAATGCGATTATTCAGTTAACTGGTAAGTCGGAAATTACACACAAATACTTTATTCGTAAATACAACTAAGATGTAAACGTATTTTTGTATTTTTAGGTTTCAACTTTTGCGAAGACCCGCCGATAGAACTTGCCTGGCAGCGTACCTGTTTAACTAAACGTATTATTTCCTGATAATAATATCAAAACACGTAAGTACCTCTATAATTTATGATGAAAAATGATTTTGATTTTGTTTTATATTATTTAAATACTTTCTAACCTCAAATAATAGTAAGATTCTTGTTTATATCGCACAGCCTGTTCAAAACTGTATTAGTTTCAAAAAATATAAACAAACAATTATTAAAAAAAAACAATGTCCTTTTTAATTCATTTATACCTCAGAAGGATGCCAGTAAAATTTTTATTAAATCAACATTATATTATTTGGCCGTTAATTATGCAAAAAGGAGCATATTGTCTAACTTAAATTTTCTTTACTTCTCCTGACAATGTTCTCTATATTCTCTATTTTGAGTTAATAAACTTTTGAACGGATGTGCGATATATAAAATACATAATATATCCAAGGGTGCTGACCTGATAAAAGTATTTTTTGAGATTTTTTGGTTGTTTATGCACGTTGGCTTTGTTTATGTTTTATTCAGCTTATATTTATTTCCGATATAACAGTTTTTTTTGCCTTTGAATGGTAATGCATTGAGGCTAGATAGTGTTTCATTAGGATCATTAAAGGAATTTCTAAATTAGCATATATTTTTTTGTCATATTAGGTGTGTTATCATGATACAGGTAGTTGTACTCATAGTGCCTTATGCATGTTACTTATGTATTGTATTATCAGTAATAGATGATAATATACTACTTAAATGTCTTTTAATAGTATGTTTATCTTTCCACCACTTGTTATTTGGTAAAATGTATTTTGGAACTAATTTAAGTCATTAATTGATCATCTTTCTTTTTCAGGTTCCGATATTCTTTTTCATTGTTAAAAAATATATAATATCATTGTACATAAACGCAGCTCTAAAAATAAAATGATATTGCTTACTAATGTGTAATTTATTTACTGTGAATTTTCTCTGAAAATAATAAGTCTTTAATAATATCATTGATTTGCTGTGTAAAGTTAATAGACATATTTTTAATACATTAAATTATATTAAAGTAATAAAAAATATGTTTATTGAACAGTAAGTCAGTGATACTTATAAAAATATTTTTTTAAAAATTTCCCCTCTTCTAAGCCCCGCCCCTCCAATTCCCCTCAATTTGGCTAGTACTGCCAGGCGACACCAGGTGGCGTCTGTTTCCATTTTTTAACATGAAGTTAGCATTTCTTTAATGTACCTATTCTCTGATGTACACTATTAGAAATCGATCTAATTTCTAATATTATCGAGCTTTTAAAATTCGAGAAAGTGATCGGAGATTGTGTTTAAAGTGTTGTGAAATGTTCGTTAGTGCATATTTTTGTGTCGGTAATCGGTATCGGTATAGGCAAATCGCGATGTACAAATCCGAAGAAGGTAGATATGCTAAGAGCATAGGTACTTTCTGGCAGGGGAAAGCGCTTTAGAAGCTCGGAGACTTATTCCGAAGAGTATCCGAATAGATAAATCCCTAATGCTCGAACCTTTGTAAGTATGGTTCAGCATTTGAGGGATTCGGGAAAAGCAACGAAGAATTGCTGCAAAACGTTAAAAATTCCATGCTCAGAAGAAGGAGAGCATGTATTGGAAATGGAGGTCGTGATTTTGAACAATTATTATAATAGCATGCAGTCAAGAAGCGAAGGGTATACCGGGTGGTGCATCATCGTTGGAAATATAGGATATCCCCATGGTACAAAGAATACAAGGTATGATATTGCGCAGGTTGGTCGCTACGTCACAGGTGATAACTGGCGCTATTGGTCAGCACTCTCCGCGCGCCAGTTCAAATCGTCAAGATATTGTTATAAACCTGTTTTTTTGTTTATATACCGTCATTGAATTATCGCTAAGCAAGTTACTGTGGAGCAGTGCGTAAGGAGTCGGGCTAGAAAGCGAGAGACCGGAGTTCGAATCTCGGCCGGGACATAACTTTTTATTTATTTTTTTAAATACTGTTGTATTCTATAGTTTTTTTTGTAGTATAAAAAAAGAACTATTTATTCTGTTATTTTTTAATCTCCGTTATTAATATAAATTGATTGTTGGTACAATACCTCATTTAATATAAAATAATCTACTTTTTGAAATGTATCGGGCCCTAATTGTACCTAAAAGTAATATATTTTTAGTGATATACCATATTGTAAACTATTTAATATTTCAGTCACTTAAAAAGCTAATTTGCATTGAATAATTGTCTACCATTAAAGGAAATTTGAGCTATAATATAATCCTCGATGGGCATATTCTGGGTATGCAAATACTTCCTCTAAATTTTGGGTGTCGTTCAACCAATTTATTCTCAAAACCTGAAACATCTACATATAAAAAGAAGCACAGGTCACTAATTACAATAAACTTCACCCTTGGAATTACTTCTATCATAATTACAATACGTTCATCTGCATTGGCATTTTCTACTTTTCGATGGGAAACAATAAACTTCCCAACATTTTTTAAATGATGTAATAATTCCTCTTGTGGTTACTTTTCCATAGATAACCTCATCTCTGTCCTCATGTGAATTCAGAGGCAATGAACATGAAAATTATTTACCATAAACATCGCAAACTAAAAACCTAATAAACAATTTTATACCGAATATAGAAATAAATTTAGTATTCTTACCTATTATTATCGTCCAAATCCATGTTAATAGATAATTATTTTTAAATATATTTTTGGAACTGCTGGTTTTAGTAATTATTAAATTAAACGAACTAAAAAGTCTTAAAAATAAACAATTCTTAACCATAACCCCAAAAAATGCAGATCTCCTGTCAACTTTCTTTATTTTTTATTTATTCATTATTTTCCTAGTGACGTCACAGGTGGTATGCGCGAACTGAACGAAATTGGAGCCGCTATCGATCATACCTTGTATTCTTTGTACCATGGGATATCCCATGCAAATTTTGAACTGTCGAGATCTTGGATCCCCTTGTGCAAATTTGTAATGTATCTTTAAAAACCATTTACGATTTAGCTCTAAAATTAATAGAGGAGCCAATATTTCCACAGTTGAAAATTTGCATAGTGTTGTTAAGAATTGTAGTGAAGTGATGTTATTAAGTGTAGTGTTGTGTAATATGTGCAGTTTTAAGAGTGGTAAAATGGAAAAAAAGAAAGCTCTGCAGTTGTATCTCTCTGCTATAGGGATATCTTTTTTTATTTGGTAAGTTTTTTTTTCTTTTAGTTTATTTTGTGGAATGTGAGAAAGTAGGGCTACTGGCGATCACCCACTTAAAAAAAGTAACGCACCTCTGCAGAACCTCTTGGATGGTGTGGGATTTTGCAAGTACTTTTTAAGTCTTTCTAGTCGATGTGGCAACAGCGGGCGGCGAACAAGCTGAGATCCGCGAGATCTCTCCCCCGCGCCGGGGGATCCGCGAGATTCCCCGGCGGCTCTCAAAATGTCGCAATTTTTTTTTTAAACTTTCAAAGTTAAATAACTCGGTTATTTTCAATTTATTTTAAAAATGGTAAAGAGAAAATATGTTTCTTTTGGCCAGATCTACCACCCCTTAAAATATCTGCGCTCATTTCTGGGACACCCTGTATAATCAATACATATTTCTTTAAATATCGAGAAATAAAATATGTTTGGCAACACCGTACGAAATATCGCCGCGCGTAGTCCTCAAAATTTAAAATATTAGCATTTTCAGGCTTCGATTATGTTCAAAAGCGCCACCGTATGACAAATCACTAAAGCTTCCACACGAGAGTTCTTAAAACTATAATATTCTTTGAAGCTAGTCAACTGTCACTGTCAGCTGTTCGCTATTTCACATTTCACAACTGTTATCAGAGCTGTTATGTAAAGAAAAAGGTATACAGACAATTACTCAACAGACAGTCCAACTGGCAGATACTGGTAGAAAATAGAAAATAGTGTAAAATATACGAAAAAATGTTGAGTGTACCTCGAATTGGTGTTATTAGGTTTGTAGGGAATAACATTAACAAAAATGTAATTTCCAAGATTAATATACAATCTACACGAACTATAACATCTAAGTTAGATGACTTGCCAGTAAAACCTAAACCATGGGCCTATAATGAAAAACATTTTACATTATTAAATTATCCCTTTGATAAGACTTCATCCAGATTTGATGAAAATACAAAGGTATTTAGGAGTAAAATTTATTTGAATATATTCAATACATTATTTTAAATCTTTTTTAGCTTATCGTAGTAGAAGGTTCAGTTGCAGCTGGAAAAAGCAAATTTGCCAAAGAAATCGCAAAATCCTTTGGTATGTTTTATATGCCTGAAGCTAATCTTGATATGAATTATATAAATTATTATGGGTATGACTTAAAAAACCTGGATCCATTACTAGCTCCAGATTGTAGGAGCTTTGATGTTATGGATTTCTTAAAAAATCCCAAACATAAGCTTGTTGCAAGAATGCAAATTCAGCAATATGTAGTTAGGTGGGTAACTTATTGTTGTGTGAAAAAGATTTTTAATTTGTATTTCCAGATTATCTCAATATATTGATGCTTTAGCTCATATTCTAAGCACAGGTCAAGGTGTAGTCTTAGATAGATGCGTCTACTCTGATTTTGTTTTTGCAGAAACATTGTACAATCAAGGATTTATATCTAGACCCGGTAAGTACATAGATTAATTAAAGATAATACCTAGGTCTGTCAACAAAATTGAGTTTTCTATTGCAAATGATAAATTTGTGCGTATTGAAAGACTGTACAAAATTTGAAATCAAATACTCATATAGTTTTCAAGTTATTCATAATTCCGTTTAGATAATCGCGTCGAGGCGGGAAAACGCTGCACAGGAGAGCTACCGGGTGTGCGATGTCACATGCTTGCTAATCGCAGCGCGCTGTATTGCCAGAGATATAAGAAACGGATCCGTTTCACTGTTTTGTTGTATCCCTACCTAGATTTAATTAGATTTATTACATTAGTTTTAGCCAAATTTTATCTGTACTAGGTAAGTTACGCCACTGTATTCAGAATTATTTGTACCGGTTCTGTTTTATTCTTGTCATAAATGACCCTTCAATTATTATTAGTCGATGGAAAGTCTTTATTGTAAAGTTATATAGCCTTTGTTCAAACACGTTTGTGTTTTACGCAAACAAAGGATCGACTAGGTACAGTTTTAACACTTAATCACACTCTTTAATTTAATTTAGTTCTGGGATGTAGCTCTTTAGTCTCTTTACTTTTCGACGCACACATTACTTTTTGCCTCTCTTCAGGGAACACAGCAGCTGACATTCAGCATAAATTTTTGCTGACTTTTATGACATTTCACGGTATTCCCTAAATGGTAAAAAGCAGTAAAAAAAAACAAGAAACAGCAGCTGTCTCATGCGCCCGTTGCATTTCTGACTACTATAAAAATTTGAGAGAAATATAAATAAATCGTCATAGTCAAATTGGTCTATAATTCTGGTCTTTAGCCTTTAGAATTAAAATTATTTTGAAAAAAGAATTATTAAATGGTTGATCATTTTATAATGGAAAATTTATTATTTGACAATACAGTATTAAACATTAAATTTCTGAAAAAACATTTATAAATAATTTTACCTATGCATCTAAACAAAACAACTTAAAATAACAGGAACTGGCAGTTAGATATACTATATGAACGACCAAGTCACTTTTCACGCATTTTTTTTTTTTCGATGGTATGGTACAAATCAAATTAGTGTAAATACTATACAGTCGAAAAAAACAACGTCAGAGGTGACGTGGAGATGGAGATTGTTGTTATTTTGTAAGTAAACTTATACCGGGTGCGTCTCAAAAGTGGCTCACCCCTATAACTTTTTTATTTTTGTAGTTAAAAAAAGAAGATTTGGTATGATAGTATATGACATAAATTAGGATTGGTTGACGTATTCAATTGTTTTCGGTCACTTCCAGTTTCACCGGAAATGACTACAACTTTTGATTTTTAAATGGCACCCAAGGTATTTTTTTACTTTATTCAATAGAAAATGTCACTCTGAATAGAATGACATATCATATGTGAACTTTTGACATTTTCGCATATGGTTTATTTAAAATTAAAACTTGCGGTTCGTAACGAAAATTTGACTTGAAATACCAAGTGTGTGGTATCAAATTATTCGTAAAAAAATGCTTTTTCTAAATATGCTAATGAGCCACCCTCGTTCCATTTGAAAACATTGAGATATTATTAAAAATACGATTAGAGTATTTTCTAAGTGGCCAGGACAAGACACTAAACACATTAGACGATCGAATCTATTTTTCCAAGGCTACTTGATGAAGAATTAGTGTTTTTAACATAACCATGGCACCCTAGATTGAATTTTAAAATATAATTTTTTATTAAGCGAGAATGTCAAAAGTTGACATATGATATGTCATTCTATTCAGAATGTCATTTTCTATCGAATAAAGTAAAAAAATACCGAGGGTGCCGTTTAAAAATCAAAAGTTGTAGTTATCTCCGGTGAAACCAGAAGTTTTCTTCTGAGAAATTTTCTTCTTTTCTTCAACTTTTTCTATCTCTATTTCCAATTGGCTTTTTCGAACGTTTTAGATTAATCTACTACTTTGTAATTTTTTTGACTACAAATATCTCCTGTTTTTAAGGATTCGAACAAACCATAAAAAATAAACAATAATCTGGGAAAGTTATTTTACATTAGTTGACCACAGATAGGGAAATAGAGCAAGGCTGACTTGTATCAGCCTAAATATTTACCACTGAGAATTTTGCACAGCGGCTGACCGTTGCTGTTCGTCAGAATCTAGGGTCAAAATAGACCTTTTAGGGACCTGTCCCTAAACGCGCTCATTGTTTACATTCAAAAAATAATCGAGTCAAACCTCTTTTAGCAGGGTCGGATTTACTTTTTTTTGAATATTGTATACCGGGTGTTCCTCAAAAGTGCTCACCCCTGTAACTTTTTTATATATTTTTCCACTTAAAAAACGAGATTTGGTACACAGAATGTGTAGAATGAGTGGGAGGTGGGGGGGGGGTAATCACTGCGACCTTAAAGATCTATTGTATCCCTCTTTCTTGAGTTATAAGTCAGCATACAGTCCATAACTGATTAACCATAACTGAATCCATAACTGACATCAGATGTTCTTCTTCCGGGGGTATACACCCTTCCACACCTGATACCGGTGTTGTCCTGAATCTATAATAGAAGATATAAATATCACTCATTCTCTATTTCCTCTTTGGATTTGAGGTCAACTCCTATTGTGATGACCTGACCATGGCCATCCTCCTTCGAGTTGGTAACTCGCCAACTTGATGTCTTTAAATTGGTGTTCTGGTAAGTAACTTGGTAAGGTTATGATACGTCCCCGCTTGCCTCCCGATGTTGGACAGCTTTCCATCCTGTTTTTTTTCTTGTCTTGGGGATGAGAGGTTGTAGCTGTTCTTCTCTTGCTGTTTGGTTGAGATACACCAGTCTGTTTCTTGGTTCCTTGACTTTCCTCTTTTTCGATGAGGGTTTTCGCATTTACTTCCTCTGGAGCAAGTCCTTCGTGGAGCAGTGGGAGGAATAGTATTTCCACAGTCAATTGAAAGTATTGAGACTCTTAATTCCTTTGCCGCACGATGGCGACAAAGGAGTCGACAAAGACAGTTCCGAAATTAAGAGTCCCAATCTGTTCCAACTGACTTCAGATAAACTATATCTCCGTACTTCTGCTTCGCTAAATATTGGTCATAAAACTAAGAAAGGTGTACAGGGTGGGTCAAATTCGACGCTTTTAAATGGAAACACCCTTTTCTATAGGAGAAAGACGAAAACTAATCGGTGTCTGGAGCTCAATTTTCATCAAAAACATGATGGTGAAAACCGCACATCAATATCTGTTACCGTTTCGGAGTTACGGGGTGTTTTTCAAAAATGTGCATTTTTAACAAATCGCTGTAACTTTTTTGCTATGGAAAATTTTGTATTTCTGAAATGAAAATATTTCCAAAGCACCTTTTTACGTAGAATTTAATGGTTTAAGTATAATTTTTTTTAAATTAATAATTTAAGAGTTATCAACAGAAAAATTGATTTTTTATTTGGGACACCCTCTATATTTTTAATTAACTGTAAAGAATTTAAAATTACCTTTCCAAAAATATAGCACACTTGATATTTTGTTATAATCCTTTTCGAAATACAGAATTTTTAAAAGTTCGCCACTTTTAACTAGTAGGCTTTGGACCCCTTATTGATGATATGCCCTTAATGGAACTCGAAAACATATTTTTTCCAGCAAGACGACGCACCGCCTCTGAACGCTGAAGTCATCAGCAAATTTTTGCAGCCAATTTCAAGAATAATTGAATAGCTAACCAAGATCCCAGCCGTTGGCCGTCGAGGCCGCCTGACTTAGTGCCCATGGATCTAATCCTATGGATATATTTGCGGAAGAATAAAGGTTCCTTATTCCGTATAATCTAGACAAGAATTAGAAATACTTAGCAGATATGAGAGGGTATCTTTCACCCTCACTGAGTTAATGAATTCCGCGAGTAATGTTCAAAAACTGCCCCGTCTGTCCATAACAGAAGACGGTCGATATGTCGAACACCTGTTGCAAAATCTCATGTCTTAGTTTGCTATTTATTTTTATTGTTATTAGATATAGTTTAAATGTGTTGATGTTGGTTAAATATATTTTAAATTATTATAAAATTCTGCATCTCTCATAACAAATATTATTTTCGTTTTAATTGATGCTCACAACTTGAATTTTTTGCATTATAGCCGGTGGCGTTCAAAACCTACTTATTTAAAGCGGGCAAATTTTTATATACTCTATATCTCGAAGAGGAATCGAGCAAAATATCAAGAGTGTTATATTTTTGGAAAGGTAATTTTAAATTCTTTTCAATAAACTAAAAATATACAGAGTGTCCCATATAAAAAATCAAATTTTCTGTTGATAATTCTTAAATTATTAATTTTAAAAAAATTATACTTAAACCATTAAATTCTACGTAAAAAGGTACTTTGGAAATGTTTTCATAAAAATACAAAATTTTCCATAGCAAAAAAGTTACAGCTATTTATTAAAAATGCATATTTTTGAAAAACACCCCGTAACTCCGAAACGGTAACAGATATCGATATGCGGTTTTCACCATCTTGTTTTTGACAAAAATTGAGCTCCAGACACCGATATTAGTTTTGTCTACCTCCTATAGAAAAGGGTGTTTCCATTTAAAAGCGTCGAATTTGACCCACCCTGTACATACATCATGCATTCAGCTTCACGCTTTAATTACGTCTCGCGATACTTTATTTGTTTATTTATTAACGAGTTGTTTTAATTTTCCCTATAGCTTGAAAATTTTTAAGTGCAAGTTAGAAACACTTTTTGGTAAAAATAAGTGGAATTGAGTTGGTGTTCGACAGTGGTCGCGCTATTAGAACTCCAAAATCGACATCTCGAAATCTATCAAATAATTGGTTGTAGTTTTTTCAAAAACTTTCTTAACATTTCTGCTATATTTTCTTCGCAGACAGTATGTTAATAAAAAAAAGTTTCAATATCTAAAGTGGTTCTTAAGTTATGGCGTGTTATGTGTTAAAAAGTTGAGTTTTTAAATTATCGCGATTACTGGCGTTTTCTCGTTATA